TTGCAGTTGCAAACTCTCAAAACCCAACTCATAGTGCAAAAGGAAAGGGAGAAGAGAAACAAGAGAATGAGGCAGAGGTGAGGATGATGCAAAAAGAGGGGAAATAGCCAGTGAGATAGCTCAGTGGACTAAAGCACCTGCTTAGGCAAGTGCTGGGACCTCAGTTCAATCCCCAGCACCACATACCAAGCTGGCCAAAAACAAAAAGAGGAAAGAGAGGAGGAGAAGGGGGTGGTGATTTGGTTCATGTGATCAGGGTGTTCTATTGGTGAGCTTCAGGAATAACTAGATATAGAGGTATAATGTCACCAATTCCTCCCCTTTTTCTCCTCGGTGGCTTTCTTAAAAAACTGGCTAGACTGGGTGTGGTGGCGCACACCTGCAATCCCAGAGCTTGGGAGGCTGAAAACAGGAGAAGAGTCTGATCCACGTAGCGAGACCCTGGAGACCCTGTAGATCCTGTACTAAATACATTAAAAAAAAAAAAAAAACTGGCCACTGGCAGAGTCACACTTTTTTTGTTTTGTTTTTTTGCCAAACCAGGGATTGAACCCTGACCCTTGCATTTGCCAGGGAAGTGCTTATTCTACTGAGCCATCTCCCCAGCCAGATTCAAACTTTTTGTGCATGTTTTTGAGATGAAGTCTTGATCTCTGTTCCAGGGTTGGCCTTGAACTCACCATGTTGCCCAGCTGGCCTCCAAGTTGTGGAAATCATCCTGCCTTATCTTCTGAGTCTGGGATTACAGACATGTGCCATCATGCCCAGCTCCAGATTTATTTTCTTCTTTTTTTTTGGCAGAACCAGGGATTGAACTCAGGCCCTTGCACTTGCCAGGGAAGCACTTATTCCACTGAGCCATCTCCCCGGCCCTTATTTTCTTTTTTTAAAAATATTTTTTAAAATTTTTATTTGTGTGTGTGTGTGTGTGTGTGTGTGTGTGTGGCCAGCTCAGCCCACCAGGGGGCAGGGCTGGCTGGCATGTGGTGCTGGGGGATTGAACTGCGGTCCCTGTGCTTTGCTAAGCTTGTTCTAGGTAGGTGCTTTAGCCCACTGAGCCATCTCACCAGCCCCCTCCAGATTTATTTTCTAACCAGTGCAGCCCTCCCACCCAAACTTCTTTGTCCAGTGACTTCATCAAAAGCCCCATATGGTTCTCTTTGGCTGGCTTGGGGTGGGATCAGCCCATCAAACCTGATGGCAGAGAGTAAGTCAGGTGGTCCCCAAAGAATGATGTGTGTAGTGTCACTAGAGGGAGAAGATGCAGGGCCCATAAAACCCTTAGATCCCTGCTGTGCCTGGGGTGACCAAGCGAGGACCTCTTGATAATTATTCTAGGACAACAGTCTTGGTTACTTTGGGGCTCCACTTAAGTCTTTCTGGCCTCTCTAGGCTCAGCACAGACCAGATTGGGCTATGGCTCCTGTTTACACCAAGGAGTAGGATATGTCCTAAGTCTTGCCTGCCTCCCGGGCTCCTGCCACATACTGCCTAGCAGACAGTGGGCCCAAGGACTTTACCAGGCTGAGACCCCTAGCTGTCTATGTCTCCTCAGCAGCCCAGAGCCCTCCCACCACTCCACCTCCTGCCCTGGAGAATCAATCACTATGGAATCCCAGCCAAAGAGCTTCTCACGCAAAGCAAGCAAACTTTGACCCAATGTTGGGTGTTCGGCTCTGGGCCAAGGTCCTTGAGCCTCTTGCCTGTCACCTCCTTCTCTGTCCAGCTCAGGGAGGCCCCCTTCTGTCACTACAGCTGCAGCCCAGACAAGGATTCCTGATGAGAAGGGCTAGCTCTACCGAGACCCCAATGCACCCCACTCCTGCCCCAGGGCCTGGGGAGATGGAGGTGCCAGCCCAGCCTGAACCTGTTTTCCCTTGGCCCTCTGGGGCTTCCCTTGAAGCCTGGGGTGGCATATCCTAGTTGAAAAACGTAGGCCCAAATCAAGAAGGCAGCACTCTAGGCTCCATGTTGGCTTGCTGGGTACCACTGGGCTTTGTCTTTCTGACATGTCTCTCCAGCTGAGCAGAGGGAGGGGCGTTGGCTTTATTACCTAAGGAGTTCTTTTGTCATCAAGACCCCTTTGAGATCCTGGGCAGAGCGGTGCATCTTCTACCCAGAGCAGAGGTTTCCTGGGTGTCCAGCTGTGAGCCCAGAACTGGAGTTTTCCAGCCCAATGCACAGCGTGCTGTGATTCTCTCAGCTGCTGAATGGGTGGAGGCTCTGGGGAGGTGAAAGAAAGGGGGCTGCAGAGCAGAGTGCCTTGCTCTTGTCCTAGTTCCTATGGCTCTTGCTCCACCTGGGCCTGAAGCACAGACCTCTCTTGGGTACCATGAGGCTCCTCAGCTAAGTCAGTGATGCAGGGAGTGGAATGATGAGAAGAATGCTGAGAATGCCCAGCAGTACCTCCCTGTGTCCTATTCTGCCTAAGGCTACCCTTCAAGCCCTAACTCTTGGGTTCAGTGTCACTCTTGCTGGATGCCCCATCTCTATGCAGCTGCCTCTCACTCTTTTACCAGCTGCTCAACTTTGTTGGGACTTGACATATCAGACCAGTGTCCCACAGGTTGGTTTTTCATGTCAGTGCACAGAGGGACAAGTGGCAGGTAGCATTTGGGTCATAACAAGGGTCAAATGTCTTGAGAATTACTATGGAGAAGAGCTGGAAACATTGACAAAGTAGAGTTGGAAAAGCTGGTATGTTCTACAAAAAGTTCCATTTGTGTCCTCAGATACCAAAGGAGTAAACAAGGTGGTGACAGAAAAAATATTTTTTATTTATTTATTTATTTTTAACATTTATTGTATGTGTGTGTGTGTGTGTGTGTGTGTATGTGTGTGGCCAGCTCAGCCCACCAGGGGGCATGGCTGGCTGGCATGTGGTGCTGGAGGATTGAACCGTGGTCTCTGTGCTTTGCCAAGCTTGTTCCAAGTAGGTGCTTTAGACCACTGAGCCATCTCTCCAGCCCCAGTGACAGAAAAAATATCTTGCATTTTCAAAGAGATCAATTTTGCTGGGCATGGAGGTACACACTTGTAATCCCAGCACTTGGGAAGTTGAGGCAGGAGGATTACTGCAAGTACAAGACCAGTACATAGTGAGATCTGGTTTCATTAAACAAATGAACAAAAAAAAAAAAATCTGAGTGCCATAGTGAGGAGAAGGGTCAGAAGGAACAAAAGACAAATGGGAACCCAGTTGGGAGGCTAAATGCTTCAGGGCAGGGAGCAAAGCTGTGTCTGTATATATAGCTGCCCGCTACCAATGTTTTAGGAGCACTGGTGGGGCTTGCTGAGGGGGTAGCTATGGGACTGGCAGACCTCAGCATACAGCAAAGTGCCCTTGCACCTTCTGTCTCAACTCAGCACGGTAGCCAGTGTGGTCATACAGGGTTGGGCTCTAGCACCATGTCAGTGTCACACAGACACTCTCAGATTTCCCAGTGGAGTACTCTCCATGGGGGAAGGGGGCTGGCATGTTCCCTGACAGGCATTCCATTCTCAAAGGGCACTAAATGCCAGACAATTCCTGGTGCTGGAATCTGCACACATTCCCACTGCTTCTTGTGATGGTGCCCCAGGGCCTTTGAGCCTGCTGTCCCCTCCCCTAGGGGCTTTCCACCTTGGGTCCAAGCTCTGGAGACCTTGGGTTCTTGACACCACTCCTGATTTTGTTTGAAGTCATCCCAGCCAACTCTCTTTGGAACTTCAACTAGTCCCCTTATAATTCTACTCCTCTGCTGGGTCCTTTTCTATAGCACTATAACTCTGCTGTTCTGTTCCTTATATCTTTGAGGAATGCAAACGGGCACTGAAGGAGAAGCATTGAGTTCTTCCCTAATCCTTTTCATTTGCCAGCACCTGGCACACAGTGGGCGCTTGGTAAATATTTGTGCAATGCCCAAAGCAGCCCATTGCAGTGGGAGTGCAGGGGGTGGAGATTGTTTCTGGCTTGGGTCAGGGGACAGGTGACAACGCCTTTGGCTAGTGGTGACAGTTGGGCACAGGTTGAGGTAGACACTCAAATGTAGCCTTTTCCCTGAACTTTTTACAAGGGGACACCAGCCAGGCCGACAACCAAGCGTGCAGGACCATGCAGGCCTGCTTGATCTGCCGCGGGGCAGACCGTGGACAGCGCAGGCAGCGCTCAAGTCAGCAGCCCTCTCAGCACGCGAGCCTCCCTACCCCCAACCTCCACTCCTCCATTCACCGCCGATTGCGCCCCCGGGACTCTTGGGCTCCTGTCCTCCCCCTTTAAGAGCCGCGCCTGCGTCCCCACCCCCCTCGCGTGACAGCGCCGTCCCGCGCGCCGACGGCGCTTCTCACGCAACCGGGCACCGCGCCGACTAGGGGCGCGACCTCTGTCCCGGTGTCCCCTCCCCCTTCCCGTCCTTGCAGCCCGCCGTGATTTCTTCTGCCCCCAACCTCAGCTCCCAAAGCCCTGGCAGCTGAGCGGGAGCCCTGACGCTGGGTGGTCCCAGGGTCCCCCAGACCGCACCGTGAGGCAACTCTACAGGCACTGCGCCAGTTCCGGGCAAGGAGAGACCTGGGTCTTGGCGCCTCTGCCTGTGACCTCAGGCTAGGGTCGCCGGCTTCTCACGCAAGCGGGACCAGTGACCTGGGGAAGGAGGTCCCTACCCAGCAGCCCTGCTTTGCCTGCCTGGCACTTGCACCCCCAGTGTCATGGGGGTGCAGAAATGCCTGAGAATTCCAGTGCCTTCCCAGTCCCCTTCTCCTCGTGCTGCCCTGGGATTTCTCCCACCAAAACCCTCCCTGGTGTGTTCTGCCTTGTGCATGCACGGGGCGCCTTGGCAGTGGGACCCCAGGGGTTCGTAGCCTACACTCTGTTCCGTGTCAGCACTTAAATGAGGTCCTTTCCTCACCCCACCCCCAAAACCAACCCCTAACCTCCAGCCCCCACCCCCAACCCCCACCCCTGTCGCAGGGTTCCAGGGAAGGAGGCGGGCCTCTCACAGAGTCTCCTATAAAGGTGGTGCCTTCACCCTCAGTCTGAAGGTGACAGAACTTGGAGCCTCCCGTCCTCCTTGGGGTCCCTGCCCCAGAGACTGCTTTTCTCAGCTTAGCACCTCACTGCCGCGGGTGAGTGCTGGGGGCTTCTGGTTTGTTCCTTTCTTTCCAATAAAAGGGAAATTTGGGGGCGGGGCTGGGGAGATAGGTTGTGGCATAAGCGGCTGCCTGGCAAGCGCAAGATCCTGAGTTTGATTCCTGGTACTGCATGCCATGTCATCCCTGGAACACAAGGTGCACCGTGCCGACCTCTGAACAGGGCATCATGGCACATGCCTATAATCCCAGCACTAGGGGGGCTGAGGCTGAGACAGGAGGATCACTATGAAATAATAATAAAAAGGAAATAATTAAAAGGGAAGTTTGGAATATTACAGGTCTTCCCGGGTAGTCACTGGACTATCACCTCCAAAACAGAAGGCTAGGAACACCTTTAGTGACCAGGCAGTCTGACCCCCTAAAGGGGAAACTGAGTCCAGAAGAAAAGCGAGTCTTGCCTGAGGTCCCCTATCAAGTTCCAAACCTCTAGACATAGGTGCCCCACCTCATCCCTTCTAGGACTCCAAGACCCAGGCTCCAACTCCACTCCCCATGACTCTGGGTGGAATACCTCTGGGTGGTGCTTTGGGGCTTCCCCACTGAGGCCATTAGGGAGGCTATAGGAATCTGGGGGCCTGTGCAGCCCCTTCCTCAGTCCCATGGACTGTCCTTTGTTGGGAGGTGATCAGTGTGATAGACAGCAGGCTGCAGGCAGCTGGAAGCACAAATTCCTGAAAACTCAGCAGTCACATCTCCCTACAAAAGCTGGAGGTCACTTCAGTCACCTCTGAGGCTGGCATATCCTTGGTTCTTTCAGAGGTTTGGGGATCTAGTGTGTTTTGGGATCCAGCCCCTTCAGGAAGCTCCCCTGCGCCTGGAATCATGCATCTCTCCCGCGGGGAGACCTGCCTGGAAGATTGTGAATTTCCTCAAAGAGGGTATGGGTCTCCTCTTTTCTAGGACCTTTTTTTTTTTTTTTTTGGCAGAACCGGGGATTGAACTCAGGCCATTGCACTTGCCAGGGAAGCGCTTATTCCACTAAACCATCCCCCTACCTCTCTTTTGTAGGACCAGGCTGAACTCTTTAAGTTGTGCAAGATCTTGTCTTACTCTCACTTTCAGATTATGCTGCCTGAGCCTAGAAAGGTAAAATGACCAGTCCGAGGCCACCTACACTAGAAACTGGCCTTCTGGACCTCCAGTGAGTGGACATAGAAGCCCCAGGCAGAGCCTAGTACCTTGGAGAGAGTGATCCATGAATTTCTGGGTAGAGCCTAGAGGTTTCAGCTCCTCGGCATCCTTTCACATTCAGATCCATTCCTAATTTGTGATAATCCAGTCTGGAGTTTCTTTATAGCCCTGACCTGGTGGGAAACTTCCATTTATTCTCAGCCTTCTGTTGACTGACAACAGGGGGAAGCTGGGACTATTCATTCATTGAGAATTGAGGATGATAAAAAATCTGGCCTGGATTTCTGTTGCTAGGAGTTCAATCTAGCTGCTCTTAAAGGATCTGTTGGAGGGCCCGGGCAGTACAGGGTCCTGAGTTCATTCCCCAGTAGATCCTGAGTTCAATCCCCGGTACTGAAAAAAAAAAAAAAAAAAAAAAAAGGATCTGTGGGAATCAGAAAGTGGGGTTGAGAGCAGTGTGGCTTGGGCAGTGGCCTTCCTATTTGTCAGTATTCCTTAGATCCCTGGCATTGAGTATAGGGAGCAGAGGTTCTGGGGAAATTCCTTTCTCTCTCTCTCTCTCTCTCTCTCTCTCTCTCTCTCTCTCTCTCTCTCTCTTGTTTTTGTCTTTCTTGAGACAGGGTCTTGCTATGCAGTTCAGGCTGGCCTTGAGCTCACTTTGTAGCCCAGGCTGGCCTCAAACTCTCAATGATCCTCCTGTTTCAGCCTCCCAAGTTCTGGGATTACAAACGTGTGCCATCAGGCCTGGCTCAGAAATTCCTTCTTGACCTTCCAAAGGAGGTGCTTATGGTAGCAGCTGGCCACTTTTCAGGGAACTTTCCCTAGAAGCTGAGTTCTGGCTCTGTTACCAATTGGCAGGTGGTTTTGAGTAAGTAAAGGACCCTTCTGGAGATTAGTGTCCCACAAATGTGAAAAGAGGCCAAGGAACAGATAATTCCTAACCTCACTCCTTCCCATAGCATGATTTTCACAGTGGTATGTAGGACTCAGAGACCTGGCATGACACACATTGATTACATACTTATTTGAATATGTTGGGGGAAAAAAAGCTGTACTTTCACACAGATATTGTTTAGAATGATCCTACCTGGATGGATTTAAAGCTGATTTTTTTGAAAATGTGAAGTAAATGATAATACTGATATATGAAAATCAGAGACTGAGATCAGACAACTGTTTTAGATTGGTACAGCAATTAAGAGGTGTTGTGGAAGCAATCACTTCCCGGCTATGTGACCTTGAGCGAGTTACTTATTCTCTGAGCCTCCCTGCATCCTCCTGCAGGGGCTTATTGCCACGGCAGAATGAAGAGTGGCTGGAATTCTTGGAACACATTGGCCTCTCAACAAGTTCCACTTACCCTCCCCTCTCTCTCTTGTCCTTCAGGAGTTCTGGCTGGGAAGTTTCTCCTTTCCTTGACCGACATCCTGACCTTTTAGGATATTGGCTCCTCCTGTCCTTCATCTGATGGTCTCATTTTTCTTTTCTTGTCCCATCTCTCAGCAGCTGCCTCGAAGATCCTGACATTAATTGTGTTTTCTGTGTCTGAACTCCCAATGTCCACCTCAGCTGTGGAGCTGCTCTTGGCTGCCGCTGTCTTCTGCTTGGTTCTCTGGCTGATCCGAGCCTCTAGCTCTCGGGTCCCCAAAGGCCTGAAGAGCCCCCCAGGGCCCTGGGGGTGGCCTCTGATTGGGCATGTGCTGACCCTGGGCAAGAATCCACACCTGGCACTGGCCAAGCTGAGTGCACGCTATGGGAATGTGCTCCAGATTCGTATGGGTACCACTCCTGTGGTAGTGCTGAGCGGCCTAGACACCATCCGCCAGGCCTTGGTGCGGCAGGGCGATGACTTCAAGGGCCGGCCGGACTTCTACAGCTTCACCTTCGTCTCTGATGGTGACAGCATGACGTTCACCCCAGATTCTGGCCCTGTGTGGGCTGCCCGCAGGCGTCTGGCACAGGATGCCCTGAAGAGTTTCTCCTTGGCCTCAGATCCGGCTTCTGCATCCTCCTGCTATTTGGAGGAACATGTGAAGAAGGAGGCTGAGTATCTTATCAATAAGTTTCAGGAGCTCATGACAGGGCCTGGGCACTTTGACCCCTACAGATATGTGGTGGTCTCAGTGGCCAATGTCATCGCTGCCATATGCTTTGGGCAGCGCTATGACCATGACAACCAAGAGCTGCTTGATTTAATTGACCTGAATGATGAATTTGGGGAGGTGACTGGCTCCGGAAGCCCAGCTGACTTCATCCCTATCCTCCGATACTTTCCCAACTCTGCCATGGATGCCTTCAAGGCGCTGAATAGGAAGTTCTCTGTCTTCATACAAAAGGTGGTCAAGGAGCACTACAAAACATTTGAGAAGGTACAGGTTGGGGAAAGAAGGTGGGCCAGGGAGGTGGGTAGCATCAGTGGCCAGGAGGTCAGAGATGATGGGAATAGCATGAGGCTTGGGGAATCTTCAAGCATGATGGGAATAGCATGAGGCAGGTGCCACCCTGGGAGTTTGAAGCTTTTATGGAGTGGGCACCATCCTCCCTAGGGGAGTAGAACTGTTTTTGTTTGCCTGTTGTTTTTTTTGTTATTCATTTGTTTTTTGTTTTGTTTTGTTTTTTGAGACAAAGTCTCATTATGTAGCCCAGGCTGGCCTTGAATTCCCAGTGATCCTCCTGCTTCAGGAGAATTGTTTTTTGACTGGTGCTTCTAGATTTCTATGTGTCTCTGAAAGTCATTCCGTGCAGAACTCTGGACCAGTTGTTGCAGGAATGGGAGAGAGTTAAAGAGTTTGTCTCCTGACTTCATGGTAGAGAAAGGTGAAAGAGCACATTCAAATAATAGTAGGAAACTCTGTGGTGAGGGTCTTTAGTATTTTAAAGTGTCAGAGAGCCCAGGGAGGCCAAGAGGAGCTAGGACAGCAGCTGTAGTAGGTGCTAACTTCTTTAATGAAGATGTTAAAAAGGTATTAGCAACAGTGAGGGGCCAGGGCTGGATGGCGGATGGACCTGGGCTTGAGATCTTGCTCATCAGTGTGTCTTTCCTACCCAGGGTCATATCCGGGACATCACAGACAGCCTGATAGAGCACTGTCAGGACAGGAAACTGGATGAGAATGCCAATATTCTGCTTTCAGACCGCAAGATCGTTAACATTGTTATGGACCTCTTTGGAGCTGGTATGGGCCAGCCCATTGTTTCCTTTCTGTGCCCTGAGTGTTCTGATCTGTGTCAACTGCTTAACTTCTCCCTTTGTTCTGTCCTGTCTAGGTTTTGACACAGTCACAACTGCCATCTCCTGGAGCCTCCTATATCTGGTGACGAACCAAAGGATACAGAGAAAGATCCAGGAGGAGCTGGGTAGGTGGGGGATCCATCTTGGAGGGCTAAGCAGGGTTCTGCCAATGCCTGGGCAGCCCCTTGGACCATCTGGATCTTGTGTTCTGCAGACGCTGTGATTGGCAGAGAGCGGTGGCCCCGGCTCACTGACCGACCCCAGCTGCCCTACATGGAAGCCTTCATCCTAGAGGTCTTCCGACATTCCTCCTTTGTGCCCTTCACCATCCCACACAGGTGAGGCTGTCCGGGTCTCTGGTAACTGGGTCTTGCTGTAGTCCACACATGGATGAAGTACCAAGGAGGAACATGGCATGGAAAATGGGGGATTCCTCTGTGACCTTGAACCTGACTCTGCTTTTTCCCTCTCCAGCACCACAAGAGACACAAATTTGAGTGGCTTTTACATCCCCAAGGGGTGCTGTATTTTTGTGAACCAGTGGCAGATTAACCATGACCAGTAAGTTGTAAGGGGCAGCAGAAACTCCTTGGTGGGCTGGGCCACTGTCCCCTGGGCACAGATCTTGTCTGTGTACCACTTGCCCATTCCTGTCTTTGGGGATTCAATGCACTTAATGCTCTGGAAGCCCCAGCTGTCCTTAAGCTGCCTCCCTCTAATTACAGGAAACTGTGGGGGGACCCATCTGTATTCCGGCCAGAACGTTTTCTCTCCCTGGATGGCACTGTGGACAAGGCACTGAGTGAGAAAGTGACTCTCTTTGGCTTGGGCAAGCGCCGATGCATTGGGGAGATCATTGGCCGCTGGGAGGTCTTTCTTTTCCTGGCCATTCTGCTGCACCAACTAGAATTCAGCATATCACCAGGAGGGAAGGTGGACATGACCCCTATCTATGGTCTGACTATGAAACATCCCCGATGCCAGCACTTCCAGGCACAGCTACGTCCTTCTGTCCTTCAATGCCACGAAGCCTAGATCTGTCTACCTGGTCTGTGTGAGGACTAGATTGGGGCTTCAGCCTGAAACTCATAGACTCTTGGGGAATCATGCCAGCCCTCTAACCCAGCTTGCCACTCTGCATTTTAAACAGATGATGGGGACAGCAGAGGAACACAGGAGCCCATGGGGCTTCTGCAGAGCAGCCTGAGCTGGGAGCCCTGCAGGCTTATGTCTTTCAGCCTTGGGGAGCCTCTGAAGAGCTCTCTGCAAGTCTCTGGGACTAACAACTGCCAGGCTGGAGAAACACTTCTTTCCTTTTTTTTTTTTTTTCTTTTTTTCAGTACTAGGGATTGAACTGAGGACCTTGTGTTTGTCAGGTAGGCACTTAAGCTGCTGAGCTATATCCCCAGCCCCTGGAGAATCATTTCAAGCAGGCGATACCAGGACCTGTGGATCAGCTTCCTGAAGCAAGGGAAGAGCCATCCTAGGAAACTGGCACAGATGTAGCATCGCCATTTGCCCTAGGTTGAGTGATGTGCTCCCATGGGCTGGTGACTCCATGCCTAGGGGAATCACATTTCTCTTCCCTGCCTCCAGGCAGTAATAAACAGGGATGCATTCTAGCCTTGTAAGGCCTTTGTGCCTGTGCATGGTGTGGCTGAGACTTGCATCTAAGAGGAAGGACCAGGGCTGGCATGAAGGAATATTTCACTTACCTTTCACTGATATCCCTTATCTATACTCCATGTAATTTTTTTTTGTATGTGATACTAGGCTTAAAATGTCTATTTTGTTTGTTTGTTTGTTTGTACAGAATTACTTTTTTGTTCTAGCCTTCACTGTGATTGTGTTTGCATTTGTTATATATGAGCTTAAGAATCATCTAATAGAGAACCATTTAATCAAAGTGCCCATAAATGTATAGGAAATATCCAGCTGAGCTAAATAAAAATGTTACACAGAAGTCCTGCAGATGGAAAGTTTTTGAACTTCTTCGTTGAAGATATTGCACCTGCCCAAGATATTGCACATGCCCAAGCCCACCTAGGGCCCAGTCTTGTTTTGGGTTCTCCTGTAAGAGAGGGGAATGGAGAAGTGAAGTTACTGCTTTCAGGGAGTATGTGCAGGGGATAAGACTGTCACTTTACTGTCTTCCTTCGTCACTGGATTATCACACATCTATGAAGGGCATTCTCTGAACAAGCTCTGGAGGTATAGAAAAAAACAAAACACAATCTTCACTTTTGAGAGCCTCCCCAAATGATTGAGGGGCCTGACCCCTAAATATATTTTTCCATTCATGTTGAGCAGGGCTTAGCCAACCTGCATGCAGAAAGGTGGGGTCCAGAGGTGGAAATGGGGTTAGGGAATTAATCTTTTCCTCTTTTGAAGTAGGAGTTATTGGACCATCATAAGTAACAATGGCTTCTGGGCAGTTGCTCTTAAGTTTCTGGATTGACTGTATCAGCTATTGTAACTCAGGCAATTACCAGAAAAAAAAACTCTTAGTCCTTGTAAAGTAGATCTAGAAGCCAACAGCATAGATCTGTGATAATGAGACCAAGTGCCCAAATTGCAACCCATAACCCATTTATTTATTGCAAAGTGCCAATACCTCAATTCAATCTGAATACCAAAGTTTTAGTTTAGGAAATAAAGTCATACATTAAAAGAAAAGCACAATAACAGAGCTTTCAATGATACAAACAGCCCACGTGGCCATGCAGGTTTGCCACCACTGGCCCAGTTTATGAAATCCAGACAACAGAAACATGTCTCAGGATCAAATTGATTTGTTTTAGAGAGCCAAGTGATCTGTTTGCCCTATTTGTATAGGTGCAGTAAGTGGCATTTACTATAGCATGAATTTTTCCCTGACTGTTTAAGAGGAAATATGATTATCCATAACCAATTTGGTTAATGAATTTAGACTACTTTGTTGGGCTTTTGGAGCAGAAGTGATGGTGTTGTATGCGACAAAATCAGGCCTCAAGACCTAAATCCATTATACCTAGTTTTCACATTGTTGAGGTTTTGAAGCAGAATTAATCTTCTCTTCTTTAGTTGAGGGGATTAGTTACTGGACCACCTCATGTGGCAATGCAAGTCAGACACAGGCTTTGAACTTTTTCCGGTTGTACTATTCCCATGTGGGAAACACAGCTGACAGAGTACACATGCAGAGGGCAGCTGTTATCTCTCCTATAAATGTTCCCTCTGAATACTCTGTAGTTACATCATTTGGAGAATTCTGAGTATCTCTTCAGAGAAGTTTGATATATTTTAGTGCCCCTAAAAAGGAACATTCATTGATCGTGGTGGAAATGTAAGATAATATACAGAGCTGCTTTGGGAGAATCTGCAGTTCTGAAAAAGGAGAAACATAGTTTCCATATGGCACAGAAATTATATATACATATATATATATATAATATATGAAAACAGATGGTTACACAAGCTTGTTCCTGAAAGTTTCTAATGTTAGTCATGATATCAAAAGCATCAAATAACTCGAATTAAATAACCCAACCCCTCAATAAGTGCATAAAGGTGTTCCAGCCAAACAAGTACTAATCAGTCATAGAAAGGAATGCAGCACAGGTAGGTGCTACCTGATGGATGAACCTGGAAAACATTATTCTAAATAGACAAAAACAGACTCTCATTATCCCTGTAGGCCACATATTATACAATCTCAGTATAGGAAATACCTAGAATAGTTGAATCCATGGAGATCAAAAGCAGATTCATGGTTTTGAGGGGATGGGGATGGAGCGAAGGGGAGTGACTACTAATGGTATAAGGCTTTTAGTATGCCCACAGTATATAATGTTTACATTCCTTGTGGGGAGTTGGAGCATGCACTTAACACATCTGAATTATTTCTTTCCCCTTTCCCTATGCATTCTCCATTCCATCTCTCAGTCTTCCCTTATGAGACATCTATCTTTCTACCTCCAACTACCTGCCTTATTTTGCACTTTGTTTTGATTTCTTGTATAAGAGAAACCAGGCCATATTTAAGCTTGTGTGATTTACTTCACTTAACATTACAGTCTCAAGTGCATCCATTCTCCTACAATGACTCAAGTTTATCTTTATGGCAGCATAGTAGTACTTATGCCATGGGAGAGTGATGAAAATACCTTGGAATTTGTGGTGACAATGGCACAAATTTATGAATAAAAACCACTGAATTCTACACTTTATTTTTTTTCTATAAACACATCAGTTATATAATTAGATTCTTAGTTAGAAATTTAGAAAGTAGCAAGGCACTGGGCAGCTGCTTTGGGAAAACCACTCTCTAGCCTCTGTGGTGCCCAGTGAGGATGGTCAAGATGGTTCTGGGACTGACGATTGCTTGCACTTTCCTCACGTGCTGACTAAAAGGTTTCTTGCCGTGGCTCATCAGCTTTTTGGGCACATCTTCAGTCAGGTAGTATCCAGGCATTCCGTGAAGCTTAACCACCTGGTACCACCATTCTTCTCACCACCAACTGGTTTGTGCTAGCAGGAAGAATCTTCTTTTTCTTCTAAACTTCTGGTTTAGCAGCTGAATACTTTCTCTTGTACAAAGCCTTTCTGGAATACATAGCAGATTGGTAGTATCTAAGAATCCCTCTATCCAGGACAGGGTTTCGGCTGCAGTGGGGCTCACCCTTCTGGATTTCTTAGCCTTCACATTACCCTTTTTAACTGTGGCAGTAGCACTAGCCTTCTTGGCTTGAATTTCTTTTAATATCTTGCTTCTCAGGTGTTTTGTCCACCAACTTGCAAGATGACAAAGAGCTGTACACTTTATTATTTTTTTGATCGTTTTTTGAGACAGTTTCACTCTGCAGTTCAGGCTGGCTTCGAATTTGCTGCCATTCTCCTGCCTCAGTCCCCCAAGTGCTGGGATTACAGGTGTGCAGCATCACGTGGTCTAGGAAAGATTTTTTTTTTTTTCAATAAACCACAAGGAGAGCGCACTCCAGGAAAATGGGCCAGGTGTTAAGGGTGTAGAATCCCAACTACCGCCTGCAACCCGGCAAATATTAGCAGGCAAGCACGTTACACTGCAACCCACGCACATTTCTATAGGGCCTCAAGTCCCCAGTGACCTCATCCTCCAACGTCTCAAACTCCCTAGCACCTGGCCGGCACCTGCCCACTTCCGGTTTCCTAAGAGTCGCGCAGGAAGTGACATCGGGCTCGGCGTAGAGACGCGGGGGCGCTTCCGGCGTGGCGGCCGTGCTGTGGGGGTGGGTGTGGAAAAGCCCCTCGCTGGATATTTTCGCTCGGCTGGGTGGTTCTGTGTCGTGTGTGGAGGAAGCCCAGGCTTTACGGAGCAGAGGTGGGACGTGGGGAAGCGGCTGGTGTGTGGGCGTTCGCGGGAGGGAGATTTTGGCGTAGCCAGCCGGGTTTGCGTTTAGGCTACGGGAGTTCAGGCCTTAGAGACCGCGATAAGAGGCGGGCACGCGCCGGGGTCGAGTTGGGTGTGAAGGGGTCCCGGTTCTCAGGGCTGGCTTTTGAGGTGGGAGGCCGAGGTCAGTGGAGTTCCAGCTGCGTAGAGTAATAGTGTGTGTATGATTAGCCAGGACAGAATCCAGCCTCTCTGTAAATGGTTGCTGCGGCTCACTCATTGCTGCGTGCCTCAGGTTCCTTTTGAACGAGGTGGATGGCAGGGAAAAGCTCGAGTGGCACATCAGTGACTGAGCGCTTAAGGCCAGACGTGTACTGGAATGGGGGAGGAGAGAGTGGCAGAGAAGTTGGTACCTGCCAGCGAACAGGCTCTGCTGAACCCCAGGAAATTTTTGATTCCTGCCCTCCCGCCTCCCGTGAAAGCTTGTGGTTCTTAGCGTTTTATTTGTATCCTGTGTGTGCTGATTGTATTTGTCAGTAATTGTCTTGTTGATTAGCTAAAATATATTGATCTTAACAGATTCCGCCTGTGGATACAGATGAGGAACTAGCGACTCAGAATGGTTTTTCTTTTCTCTTGCCACAGACGAAACTAATTTTAGATCCGCTGTCCCTTGTAGGTCTTACTTTGTATGAACTGTAAATGACCAGGTCTTAAGCGGTTTTATATTGCAACTTTTCTTCTTTTTTCCATAATGAGTACTAGGTAAGATGCACTGGGCACAAAGTTCCTAGGTTGTTTTCTCTGTGTGAAGTGAAAATGGTTGCGCAGATTAGATTTTTTTATTACTAAGAATTTTTTTGTTTTCCGGTGGAGTCCCCCTATAGTGGGGTTATGACAATGGAAGGAGAAAATTCACCAACTTTTTTTTTTTTTTTTTTTTTTGTTCCTCGAATGCCTTCAGGGCACTTTTGGCCAGCGGGAGAGTTGTGAGGTTCGAACTCCAACAACCTGAGGCTGA